GACGATGTAATGTTGTGATAATGCGCTATACAAAAATAAATTTGTTGTTGTTGTTGTTGTCATGCTGAGGTTCACTTCTCCAGGTGATGGCACTGTGCCTCATTGGGTTTGTAATCAGTGAGGCACTTGATACCCCTCCACATGCTCCATGGGTCACTGGAGGAAAAATGACTCTGTACCTTCTGGGCATATGCAGCCTTTGCCCTCTTTATGCCCACCATCAGGTCCCTCCTGGCTGCTCTCAGCACATCTGTGTCACTGGACCTGAATGCCACATTCCTGGCTTGCAGCAAAGAACGAACCTCTGCATTCAGCCAGGGTTTCTGGTTGTTGTATATGATGACCATCTTTGTGGTGGTGACATCATGAACACACTTAGAGATGTAGCTGAGGACAGTCAGGGTTTCTGGTTGTTGTAGATGATGACCATCTTTGTGGTGGTGACATCATGAACACACTTAGAGATGTAGCTGAGGACAGTCAGGGTATATTCCTCCAAGTCTACTATGTCCTCTCCCTCACTTGTAGCTGCATGTTTGAAGACCTGCCAATTTGCACTGGAAGCAGTCTTGCAGCATGGAGTCAGCATCACACGGCCACACTGTCACAGTTCTCTGAAACGGTTTACTGTGCTTGGCCAGGGGACGATAGGCTGGAACCATCATGATGGAAATATGATCAGAAAGGCCAAGATGGGGGCGGGGGATGGATCTGTATGCACCTCATTTGTTTGTGTAAACACGGTCCAAGGTGTCATTACCCCGTGTCGGTATGGTGACATGTTGGTAAAAGTTTGGCAGAGTAACTCTCAAATCTACATGGTTAAAGTCGCCCGCTACCACATAGAATGCCTCCAGGTGCTTATTTTGGAGTGAGCTGATGAAGCTCATTCAAAGCCTCGTCAGCATTAGCATCCAGCAGGATGTAAACCACTATGACGAATACTGCTGTGAGCTTGCGAGGTAAATAATGTGGCCAGCATTTCACAGTGAGATGTTCAATCGCCTCGGAGCAGTGTTTGCTCACCATAGTACAGTTAATGCACCAATGTTTGTTTATGTAAACACATAGTCCACCCCCGTGAGTCTTCCCCGACCGGTTAGTGCGATCCGCTCGGAAAAGTTGCAGTCCGTCGACCTGGAAAGCTGAGTCCGGCATGTTGTCTTTTAGCCATGTTTCCATAAGGCAGAGTACGGCACAGTTCCTCATCTCACGGGAAGCTCCCAGCCTCAGATGAATTAGATCCATCTTGTTATCCAGAGAACGGATTTTGGCCAAGCTGAGTGACGGGATCGGTGGTCTGCTAGCCTTTAGCTTAGGTAGCAGGCCGCCCCGTTTCCCCCTCTTTTGTTTCTGAGCGCACCACTTCC